AAAGGTGTGATGGTTAATTTTACATGTCGACTTGGCTAGGCTATGTGTCCAGTTGTTTGGTCAAATGCTAGTCTACAGGTGATTAACACTGAATCCAGTAAACTTTGAGTAAAGCAGATTGCCTTCTCTAATGTGGGTGGGCCTCTTCCAATGAGTTGAAGACTTTGAAAGAGATGACAGAGGTTCCCTGAAGAAGAAGCAATTCTCCTCAAGACTGCAACATGGAAATCCACCCACAGAATTGAGACTCAAGACCGTGACTCACCTGAGTCTCCTGCCTGCTGGCTTTCCCTACTGACTTTAGATTTACCAGCCCCCATATTCACCGGAGCCAATTCCTTAAAATAAATCTCTCTCTCTCCCCCGCTCTCTCCTTCTTTTTTTCCTCCCTGTATATATAGTTGTTTGCATGTATATATACACACACATATGTGTATATACATGTATCTATACACAAAAACTAACAAAAAAATCTATTAAAAACTGAAAAGTATAAAAGAAAATAGAAATCCCCTGTAATACAGAAATATCACCATTTTAACATATTTCTTCACTTTTATCTATTTACTGACTTTTCTATGCATAGAAACATATGGGAACATATTTTATACAAATGGCATCCTACCAGATACACACAATTCAAAACCTTTGAATCTTGTTTTTGTCCCTTGATATATTAAAGTGATCATTTTTCCATGTCCTTAAATACTTTTAACGTGATTTCTTAGCAGTTACCAAATAATCCATCATGTAATTGAACTATAATCTGCTTAACTATTTGACCCTTTCTGGGCTTTTTGATTATTTCTTTTTATTCTTTAAATACACAGAGCTCTCTCTTGATTTGAAAAACCAACTCGGCACTGCCTCTGGAATCTGAGGTCTCTAGTGGTTAGAATCAAAAGTGTTGCACTCAGTTCCACTTCGTGCAAGCTAGGGCTCATTGTGAATAAAGAGCATGTTGCCAACTTGGCCTTTAGCCAGAGTGAGTCTGACCTGGCATCAGAAAATATTACTAATCTGAAGATAACCAGAAAGATCCGTACCCATCATAAAGATCTTTGTGGCAGTGATGTGTACTCCTGATCCCTGCTCCTGTCATTGTCATTATTATGAGCACACATTTGTTCTCAACCAACAGAGTAATGTTTGTGACTTGTCCAAAATCTATTTAATTTTATAAGACCCTTATAAGAAAGAAAATCAACAAATAAAATAAAAGGAAGGAGAGGTATGAATGGACCTGTATGGACTCTCAATAGGAACATATTTTGCATTCTATATTTACTCATTTACAGCCCCAATTATGAGCTAAAACTAAATGTGCACTCATGAGTGGTGAACAGAACGGATGTTCTTGGAGAACAAAGAAACACATGGTAGCACGGCAAAACGTGTTAGTGTTTCTCCAAAGCACAATTGACGTGGGAGTTTCAGGGCCCAATTCTCCCACCACTGCAGATTTCATTCTCAATCCATTACCCTCATTTATTGCGGTCCTGATCCAAATCCCCAGAGCCAACACGCAGCTCACAGCAGCTAGATTTCTCTGAGACATTTAAGTGGCACTTTTTCCCATCAATCACAGAATTTAGATGGGGGAAAATATTTTGTGAAATGGTGATACCAATGGCAAGAATTAATTTGTGGATGTGGTTAAATACTATTTTAGCAATGCCTTGAAATGTAGCTTATGATTAGCACTTCACTGGTACAGATAGTCATTGTCTTAAAGAAATTTACTTCCAGGTCTCTTGTTCTGTTATTTTCATACGTTTTATGTCTTTTTATTTTATTTATTTACTTGCCATATTCTAAGGAAAACTATTACTTATGAATTCCAGGTTTTATTTTCGAGACTAATCTTAAACTCCCTACCTAAATATTGTGTGAAGACTCACATAAGATATGTTTGTGTATTTCAGCATGTCTGTTAGCTAAAAGAAAATTGAAAGGGCTTTTTCTCCTTACATGCTGAAAGACTAAAACTTGTTTTATGTATGAAAGTTACTTTCTTACAATAAACTTACATTAAACTGAGGGATTTTTTTTTAATGGAGTTGCTAAATTACAGAGAAATAATACAATGTGGGAAAGAAAATTTGAATTTAAAAAACATAGAAAGGAAAATAATTTAAATCAGGACATATTTGTGAATCTATTCTGTTCCTTCACTTATTAACATATTCATTTATTCATTCAAAAGTATTTATTTATCATCTGTCATGTCCCAGACACAGTTCTATGCCCTGGAGATAGAGCAGTAAAAAATAATGGACAAATATTCTTGTTCTCATGGGCCTTGCACTCTAGAGGAGAGAGAGGGACATCCCCACACTAAAATAAATTCCAGTTAAAAAGGAAAACAGAGCAAAAGTGCTGGAAACATTAAATAATAAAATGCCATAAAACCACAATATAATTAAACATTTATTTGCATTTTTGAATTACAGAACCATATTTATGAGATCAATCATTAAAAATAAAATTGTATGAAGCCTGAAAACTACAATGGTAAATTACCTACAGATACTTAATAAGTATAAGGTAAGCGTAAAGGGAAAACAAACACTTTTTCTTCTCTTACATAGTCAACATTCTCATACTTCTGGTCATCAAGCTGTGTGTGGATTCCTCCCACAGACCAAGTAATTCTCCAGCAGACACCAACTGGGTGTCCTACTATTTAACCCCCATAGTCAACATTCTCATACTTCTGGTCATCAAGCTGTGTGTGGATTCCTCCCACAGACCAAATAATTCTCCAGCAGACACCAACTGGGTGTCCTACTATTTAACCCAATTCTGACATTATCTACCTGGAAATAGCATCATATCCCACTGGTTAAGGTCACAGTCCCACAAGACTGCCTCCCCCACTTCAGATGCCAATCACAGATCCAGGTCTCCAGAATTTCTGAACAACCAGCTATAAACTGGGGGTTCCTACACCTGCCTCTTCAAGTTTGTTTAATTTGCAAGTGTGGCTCACAGAACACAGGGAAGCAGTTTCCTTACATTTACCAATTTATTATAAAGGATGTGACAAAGGATTCAGATGAACAGCCAGATGGAAACAATGCCCAAGGATAAGGTATGGGGAAGGGGTGTAGAGCCTCTGTGCCCTCTCCAGGTGTGCCACTGTCCTAACACCCCCATGTGTTTAGCAACCTGGAGCTCTCTGAAACAACCCATAGTTCAGGGATTTTTATGGAGGATCATCACATAAGCATGATCAATTATTAACTCAATCTCCAACTCCTCCTTCTTCCTGGAGGTTGAGAGTGAGGCTAAAAGTTTCCAGGATTCTGATCATGGCTTGGTCTTTCTGGAGGCCAGCCCCTATCCAGAGGCCCACCAAGAGTCACCTTCTCAGAACAAAAGACACTCCCATCACCCAGGAAATTTCAAAAGATGAGGTGCTCTGTGTCAGGAACTGGAGTCAAAGGCCAAATATTAGCACAAAAGATGCTTGTGCACCGGGCCGGCCCAGTGGCGCACTGGATAAGTGCGCCGCTTGGGAAGCGTGGCGGCGCTCCTGCCCGAGGGTTCGGATCCCACATACAGACCGGTTCCCGCTCACTGGCTGAGCGGGGCACGGGAGCGACGCTGTGGGTTGCGATCCCGTTGCCGGTCCCCGGCCCGGTACGGGGGGAACACTGGGGGGTGCGGTCCTTTGCCGGACACGGGAAAAGACAAAAGACAAAAAAAAAAAAAAAAAAATTTGCTTGTGCACCTAGCA